TCGGAGTGGTTTTACATCATGAAACCACCAAACTTTCACATCATCATCTCAACATGATCTATATAGTAGTAATAATAGTAATTTTTATTGGTGGATTATCATCATGAAATTGGAATTTATTTTTCATGATGGAAAATCATAAGTTGGTGTTCCATCATCGGATCATTCACCAACATCATCATTATTGTTTTCCATTAATAATAATGTATAATTTCGAGTCTTGTAGCATAATTTGTGAAAATAATGGATATCTATTATTGGATTGTGATTATAAATTTGGAATTTAATTTTGACTTTCACAAATTCAAGTTGGTAAGCCATCATCGGAGCAACTACCAACCATCATCATTGTTATTTATCATCATTATAATAGTAATATTTGTGGAAATAAATCTGATAATAGTAATATTTTAATGAAATTCAATGTTTTCACTAAAATCATCATCACTGCCAGATTTATATGATAATTTGGAAAACTTTCAATCTAGTATTGTTCAGCATGGTCAATTCCATCAGGTAAAATCACTTCCGAACATTTCCCTATTGGTTATCATGATGATAGGTACATGTATATTTTCAACATGTGCCTGGACCATATCCCAACATGTACTTCAACTTGGAAAATGTCTTTCGGGTTATTCATGGTCACCAATCATGATTCATGCCAAAAGTACACAGCCAATCATCTTGAAACATTAATAAACATTTAGGTTGGGTTTGGGTTTGGGTTTGGGTTTGGGTTTGGGTTTGGGTTTGGGTTTGGGTTTGGGTTTGGGTTTGGGTTTGGGTTTGGGTTTGGGTTTGGGTTTGGGTTTGGGTTTGGGTTTGGGTTTGGGTTTGGGTTTGGGTTTGGGTTTGGGTTGGGTTTGGGTTTGGGTTTGGGTTTGGGTTTGGGTTTGGGTTTGGGTTTGGGTTTGGGTTTGGGTTTGGGTTTGGGTTTGGGTTTGGGTTTGGGTTTGGGTTTGGGTTTGGGTTTGGGTTTGGGTTTGGGTTTGGGTTTGGGTTTGGGTTTGGGTTTGGGTTTGGGTTTGGGTTTGGGTTTGGGTTTGGGTTTGGGTTTGGGTTTGGGTTTGGGTTTGGGTTTGGGTTTGGGTTTGGGTTTGGGTTTGGGTTTGGGTTTGGGTTTGGGTTTGGGTTTGGGTTTGGGTTTGGGTTTGGGTTTGGGTTTGG